GCTTAAATTGGGTATTCGAGGTGGGTTCAGGGTGGAGAATTTTGCCCCAAGGTGGGTACGGGTAATACCCGCCTCGCCCGCCTCCTTAATTTTATTTTTTTTATTATTATTTTTAAGAATTCAATATTTTAAATGAAAAATTCTACGAAATTTTATTAATTATAATAGAAGATGACAACTAAAATTATTTAAGAAATATAATAAATAATAAAAACTTTAGCTTATCAAATATATTCGAACAATTTAATTCTTAAAAATAAATAAATTAATTAAAAATTTAATAATATATTATTGTCTTACTTTAATGAATAAGGCAATAAAATAAATTATAAAAAACTTAAAGAAAAAATGGTACATAAACGGGTAAAAGCCCTGACCCGCTTTAAACAGGTAACGGGACAGGATGTGGGAGAACCCGTCCCATTGACATCCCTATTTATATGTAATGGGGATGAATATAGTAGTTTTTTAAAATTTGAAAATGTTAGGGACGATAGTTGTAATGATTCAAAGGTTTGAAAAAAAATTGCTATTGTTCAAAGGTTTGGAGCGTTTGTGCAATTATCCCCTAAATATTGCACTGAAATTGCCGAATCATGTAACTTCCTCCCATTCTTACTCGTCTGAACCAAATACACCTTTCAAACCAACTCCAGAGCTCCCCCTACCCCGGTATCTACCCTCAACACGCAGATAGTCTATGATGATTCCACGAAGCCATTTCCATTCACCATGAACAACACAATTAGCCCATCAAACACATTCAAATCCACACACTACACGCTCTTTTTCACTCCAATTTTCACATTTTTTTGGCAAGTTCAAGGTTTCTTCTGAACAATAATTAGTCGATCGATCGTTTAATTGAGAGATAATTTCTTGTTATTATGGTTAAGAAGCGGGTACCCGATTGGCTCAATAGCTCCCTCTGGTCCTCCCAGGCCCAGCAACCTCAATCGCCGCCAGGGAGCAACGACTCCGTTGAATCCCATGTCCCGGCCGCACGCGGAGCTGCTAAGTCTGCTGTGGTAGAGTCGATTGTCGAGCCGCCGGTGCCGGTGCCCCCACCGAATGTATCGAGACCAGTTGAGCCACCAAGCTCCTCTGTTCATAGTAGTACTAGTGTGAAAGGGGAAGTTAAAGATCCGTTGAACAGTCATAATGGTAGTAATTATGGGAATACTAATAACAGCAGTTATAATAGCGAGGAGGAAAATGGGAGTTCTTCTAACAATTCTACAATCGCCTCCATTGCTGCTGTTGGTGCACATGCGGGTGCGGCAGTAGGGCCTGTTTCTAGTTCTTTGGCTGAGGACATTTCTTCCCAAGCCCAGCTTTTACAAGAGGTATGTTTGAGTATGTGTTTTTATTTAGAATGCATGTTTATATCTGGTTCGAATTTGAGTTTTATCTTTTTACTTGTGAGATGTGGATCCTTCTGTACATGAAATTCCCTGATGTTACAAATTTTTTTCAATGATACTCAGAGCGCATAAATGGTAATTTATGTTGTTGAATGGATAAAAATATAAAGCTGTAAGGTTTTTAAGACTAGAACAAGATATGCACAATATTCATTTAGTCAATAGTAAATATAACAATTAGTGCTTGTTTGTGCCCCATTATTTGTGAATAATGTATTATGGAAAAGTGGTTGATGTTGAAATGTGTGGTTAGAAAAGAAGGAAAAGTTTTTATTTACGTGTGATATTATTTTAATGATGAATGTTTGGTTGAAAATGAGTACCATAGAAAAAATAATGTGGTAGAATAATAGACAAACAAAGCCTTACATTGCAGTTATAATAGAGGGTTTTGTTGTGTCAAATGACATCTGGTTTCATTAATTTGGTTTGATTATGAGAGAGAGAGAGAGAGAGAGAGAGAGAGAGGATATAACACAAACTTTCAGATTGGGTTTGACAAAATGGAGAAATGTTACATGAATTCTATGTGATCTGAAGGTATTTATCTGGTTATGGTTATTGGACCAACTATGGATTATGAACATGGAAAATTGAAGATAAATAAATATGTTAAGATGTACATGTGATCACAGTAAAATATATGATCAGTAAGAGGATGTTAAGATATACATGTGATCCTTTACCGCCCCTCATGATTCTAGTGTGCAACATATCAGTCATTTGTTGTAGAAGAAGCTAAAATTTGAAAATTCAATTTCCATTGTGGTAATTTCATTGCCAAGACATGGTAGAGTGTGAACTACATAAAGTCAGTAACTACAGAACTGGTGTGACTGCATACTGCACAACTGGCTAGCATTCAAAACTTCAATAGAAAGAGTCATTTCTGTCAGGATCCTATGACATCCATCACATCAATACATTTCTAAGACAATTGTATTTGGCTTTATACAATGGAGTCACTATTCCCTCGATGCAGCACCTATTTCTTCTTTCCAGATTTTCAATCCATATTATGCTGTGGCCTGTAGGCTATGTCTCGCCTTATCGTGTGCATGCCCTTATGAATATTCATACATTGCCAAGCAGCATGCAAGTGCCCACCAGTGGAGGTTCAAAATAGGAATAAGGACTTCTCCAACAACTTCTTGGAAACCTCAGAATTTAAGAAAAGAATGGCTCTTAGATGCAGTTTCTTTCCAACACATACAGCATCTACTGCTAATTTGTTCCCTCCCCTATGCAAATATCATGTCTGGGAATATAATTTTGGGCTGCAGTCCTTATAAAATTGCATTTACAAAAGGACAAAATACTTTCAAGCCGCTCTTTAAAGAAGATATCCCAAGGCATATAACTATATGTTAGGTCGTTGGAAGGAAATCAAGGTGCAATTCAAGCAAATTCGGACCACTTAACGTGCATGCCTCGAAAGGACAAACACCTTTCTATATTGCCTCTGTGGAAGAAAATTTCCTTTTTAAACATAATTGGTTAAGTCGTTTCAATGCTCATGTTAGTGACGGAGATATGGCGATAAGTTGATCCGCTTATCTAAAAGTTTAAGTTGTTAGAGAGGAGGGTCACATGTATATTAATACACATTTCATATGGCCTTCAATGTTCTCACTTACGTGTTGTCAAGGTTCATTTTTTTTCCCATCAATGCTTGACATGTGCACAATTTCATTAAATGGGTAGCAATGAGATTTGAACCCATGACCTTTGTACTAGCTCGGAGACCATGTGAATAACTTGATCTAAAAGCTTAAGCTAATATAGGGTCACATATATATTATCTAAACAAGGTCTTCAACCCGATATAAAAATGGAGAGTATTTTTCGCCTTGTGAAGAAGGCAAAGATCTTGTACAGGTCTTCTACCAAAAGCATATCAGCAGGCTACATCTGTACAAATGTCATCTGATGGCTAACCTTGTTTGCCAATACTAGTATACCTATTATTATGAGGAGTAGATGTCTTGTTATTTCTCAAAATTCATGCGCATATAGAGAGGGAGAGTGACTTGGATGAGGTAAATGACAATGTGGGAGCTGGGGAGGTTTATGTTGAGCCAGGCCAGGGTGCAGACATTAATGCACACAGTACAATAATGATGAGCAATGGATAGTTCTATGTGCTTCAGCATCATCGTTTTCTTTTCTCATCTTTATTATCTGTCTGATTTGTGGGATGTGCTTTTGGGTTTTTAGAGCTTTTTGGTTCATATTATCAGTTGATTTGACATTTACTTTTGTACAACTTTAGCTGTCAAGGAAGATTATAAATATGGGAGAATTGCGGAGGATAACATCACAAGGCATTCCTGATGGAGCTGGCATTCGTGCAACGGTGTGGAAGGTATGAACACTGATTTTATATATTTCCATCTTTGGGCACATGTTATATGGAAGGCATGGGTTTTACTTATGGAAGGCACAGTTCTACATTGCAATTTAAGGTTCATTTCTTGTTGAAAAAGTTCAAAGCTGGCAACATACCCAAAAAAATAATGTTTAAGCTGCCATTCAATTAGTTTATCAAGTATTTGATGCCTCTCATATAATTTAAATGTAAGCATACATTCACATCACAGATCATGAAGTGAAATATAAGATAATGTATAGGAAATTCCGGAAGATTTAAAATTGTAAAAATTGTCCCTTTTACATTACATTGCTTTAAAAACAAAATTTTTCCAAAACTGGAATCAGGAACTTAATAGATCGGAATGTTGAATTATTTATCCAAGCATAATAGATCCAGATGGGGAAATATAGAAAATTTTGAACAGGGAAGAAACATAGATGGAAATAGTCTTGTTTCATGGGAGATTTTTTATGTGGTAAAGGACCCTCTACTATTGTAAATGGAAGTGTGTGTATGATGTGAGCAAATAAATAGGTATATGATTTTGTCTCCCCTGGTGCAAATACAAATAGAATCTTTTCTTTGATAAAAGAAAAGAGAACAATAAGTTCAACAGTGAATTTAATGTAGTTCCCTGGTCTCCCGAAACTCTAGGATGACGCTGTTTGTCAAATATAGCATGTGTTTGGCTAAGTTTATTATGAAATTATGGGATGACTGGCTAAAGCACTATGGAGATTGAATTTAGCACGTGTTAGTTTTCTAAGGCCTAAGATGGGTAAACGTGACAGAATATTGCAAAAGAGATGATCCAAATCCCTTTCTTGTTTTAAAAAAAGTATAAGTACGTGTACCAACATGGACTAAGAAAAAGTGTTAATTCTTCCTGTGCAGGCACAATACGGATGTAAGTTTTGTCCATGGACTTATATGGGACCAAATAAATTAACTGCTCTAATAATTATATTTCCACTCCTATGTTTCTTTTAGTTTCAGAAACTGTACAATAACTGGATTACAATTTTATTGTGCCTTGTTTGCAGCTATTGTTAGGATATCTTCCACCCGATCGCTCGCTTTGGCCTTCAGAGTTGGCCAAGAAGAGGTCTCAGTATAAGCATTTCAAAGAGGAGCTATTGATGAATCCTGTAAGTCCTTGAATCATTTTCATATTTTTACCTGTATATCTTTTTCTGATCAGAACCATCTTCACTCCTTTGAAAGACACTGAAAAATTGTAATAATGAAAACAGAAGAAGAAAAGGTATCGATCAATAAATTTGGCTATGTTGGCGAGGAATATTCCCAGTCGTACATCTGCAAATTGGTCTTTTACTTTTTTGGATTTTGTTGTGTGATGCATTGGGTTGGGTTTTAGAAACGCGTAAGCATACAAATATTCAAAAACGCATTTTAAGAGAAATCCTGAATTCATAAGATGCTCATGCTCTTCATGCTCCCTTTTTCCTAGTTATGGTGGGGGTACATAATCGGGTATTCTTCAGATTTATTTAAACAATTGAAAATTTACAAGTATTCTTTCTTTTTATTTTATTTTATTTATTTTTTATTGAAGAAAATTCTTTCACCATTTTGAGCTAAGACTATCTGAGTAAGGTAGCTTAGGATGGAGTTAGAAAGTTTGATCCTTTGCTTGCTAGATGTTGGCTGTACCAAGATAGTAGATATGAGAGACCTTTTCACATATTTTACTGGATCTTACGCATCCTTGAATATTTGAGCTGCTTATTCTTCTCTCTACACTATATTTATTGCAGGAAATGAGATCTCATGTTGTATAGATGAACTTACATTCTCTTCTAGATTTTTGTATTTCTCATGTAACTTCTACAATTTCAAATGTTTGATGCTCACTTGTTCCTCTTGATCTAATTGATTCTGAGATTATATTTATTTTAATGGCTCAGGAAATGTGTTCGCGTCAATATACTTTATTTATTTTATAGACAGATATGATGGCGGGAAGTTAATGGCTGAAAGAACATAAAGAGCTTGAAATTAATTTAGTCATGTGTGAACATTGTATTTCTGCTTTCAAACTGCACTTATTTCCACTCCACGTCTTTAGTTTTTTGTTGTGGCATTTCTGAACGTTTCCATGGCTATTTAGTCAGATATTACAAGGCAGATGGAAAAGTCAAGTCTTCAGAACAGTGAACCAGATGGAGAAGACAAGGGTTTTCTCTCAAGATCAGAGATCACTCAGGGAGAGCATCCGTTAAGTCTTGGGAAGAGTAGCATATGGAATCAATTTTTCCAGGTATCCTTTTTTCTCTGAGCACGGTAATCATGTATTACTGAAAGATTGGGGTTTTCCTTTGTCGCTGCAATCCTGCAGTAATGACTATCTTGTATTTGAACATTTAAGTAGTTTATCTAGCATGTCAAGAGTTGGGGTCACACTAATATTTGTCCATTACCATTTATAATCTGTAGGACACTGAGATTATAGAACAGATTGACCGAGATGTCAAGCGCACTCATCCAGACATGCACTTTTTCTCAGGGGACTCAGCTTTTGCAAAATCCAACCAAGTGAGAAGTAGCTTCATTCCTCATTTAGGCTTCTTTTTTCCTTTTTTTCTGTGTGTGTGTAGTGATGCATGTTTGTAAATCTATTTTCATTGCTCCATATATATGACTTTCAGGAGGCTTTGAAGAACATATTGATTGTATTTGCGAAGTTGAATCCTGGTATAAGATATGTGCAAGGGATGAATGAAATTTTGGCGCCATTATTCTATGTGTTCAAAAATGACCCAACTGAGGAAAATGCTGTAAGTAACGTTTCATGGTCTACCTATACTATATCTACATTGAAAACCTACAACCTTATGATTCAGAAAAACATTACACTTTGTATGTCAGCTTTCCAGCTTATTTTCTTGGAAGCTTTCTCAATGTTTTTAATCGACAATGTTCCCTGTCCATTTTCTGCTGCTTGAAACAAGGACGAATGTATTGAGAAGGATGTTGTTTCTTTCTCTGAGAGTTATGTATCAAACATGAGAATGTGAAGTGGTGTGTGGTTGTATTATTGGTCTTCTATTTCAAGGGATGTGATGGCATAGTTAGAGTGGTCCTTTGAGTTGGACTTGGAGGAAATCAAGGTGGTCATTTTGAGAGTGGAACAGAGAATCTTCAGGTCGATATGGTGTATCTTTGGCTTATTTTAGATTTTTGGGATATTTTAAAAAGGGATTTTGATGAAGGTTT